GACTTCGGGTGAAACGCATTGGATGCATCCCCATCTGTCCATTGTTTTTTTATCGTCTACATACATGCTTAACACAATGAAGATTGTTTTTGAGACTGGGTGGATGAGGAACGAGTCTGTTGCGATTTCCTTGCTTCCGTTAAGAGTTTCCAGCTTCTTCCTAAGCCACCCAATTTTGTCGTTTGTGGATTTGTAGCTTGCGTCATCGTGGAATACCCAGTTGGTTGCATGTTTTGTGTAGATCCGGTCCCTTACCCTCAAGCTCGCATTCAGGAAGTGCGTGATCATAGCCGTTTTTCCCCCTTGTTCCCTTACCGATTTCTCAGAAGCGGTGAGTACTAGTCGTGACATGAAGAACGTGCTGGTTGAAGGCAAGCCTTCAAGAGGGACCAACAAGTCCTCTTCACTTGTCTCCCCTCTCGAATGTCTCGTAATAGTTAATGTTTCCTGAGTGAAGGGTCTCCTGACCTTTTCTGCCCGCGTGTGAAAGGCGTTTGTCCCTTCCTGCCCTTAGTAGCCGCCTTTGTCGTGTGCTTGTTGTATCTGTTGCTGTCCCTCTTTTTCGTGTGCTTGTTGTGTTTGAGTTTTCCTGTGTGCTTGTTGTGTTTGAGAGGTAGTCCCGGTCGTCGACGTGGATGGGCCGGCCATTAAATGTGCCCCCGGTTGTGCCGAGAGCCTTTGTGTTGCGTCGTGCCTCATGGCACCCTGTTTATTAATAAATAAGAACACATACCTACTAGTTCCCAAAATATATATATTCGAAATAAATTATGACTTAGAACAAGTCCTAACATAGAAGTTGTAAATAGACTCGCACATAACATTTTCCACCTTGACAAAGGTTCGAAGAGCAGACGCTTCGCGTCTGAATCCCACGGGCTCATCAGCAGAGTTGCTCCATCCAAGAAATCACATGAAATACTTCTTTCACAAACTCATTTTGTAATACAATCTCACAAAGGTTCCGTTGTACACCGACCCACCAGTGTTTTGGTTCCGTTGATTTCAGGCTGGAAAAACAACTTCAAGTTTTCAGAATGCTCTGCAATCTTTCACCGTACGGATATTCGGATATTTCAACAACTTTAACGTGGCACTGTTTTTTTCTTTCCTGTGACCTTTGCATTTTTTGCTTCCTTTTCCACATGGGGGATATTATGTTTTTTTTTTTTTTTTTTTTTTTTCTCTCTCCCTTGTTGTCTTCCTCCCGATGTTTTCCTTACCGGTTCTTGTTATTCTTCCTCTTCTATCCCAGGGATAGTAGAGTTCATATCCCGTTGGAGGGAGTTTTGGGGAGGGGGTGTTGGTTGAGTATTTACCTGGAGGATTGTATCCCTTTTTCTGCTGTCCGTACACCCCACCACCGAGTATTAAAACTGCCCGGGGCCCCAGAGGGGGTCATACCGTTTTACCCTTCACGTCCTTGACTGGGATCTCCTAGTCCGCTCCTTCGTCAATGCCCCTGTCTCACTCTTTCGTGTTGTTGCCCTCTCTTCCTTCTTCTCTTACTGTTGCGTGTTGCTTTGTTACCTTTATCCCTTGTTTGGTATTCCTCTCGCCAACTGTCTTTTTCCTGTTCTTGCGCTTCTCCTCTGACCGTCGTAAGTCTTGACTCGCTTGGTCTTGGTGGTTTCTCACCGTTTGCGGGTCCCTCACAGCATCAGTACCTTCGCCATCTCTCTCTATCTCCCTTTTTCTTTTCACTAATCCTCGAGGCCGCCTTCTGCGAATTCTGGTTTGATTCTTCCACTTGCCTCAGTGTCCCCGCTATGGCTTTCCCTTCTTTGTTTGTGTATTCGTCCCTTCTTGATGTGTTGTCGTGGTCGCCTCACCTCCCGTAGCACTAGGTGATGGTCGTTGGTCAGCTCCCTCGTCGTCGCGAGCCTGCCGTGGCGCGGGCGTTAGGTAGCGTTGTCGGAGCAAAACCCTTACAAGGGTATCTGCTCGGGTTTTTCAATGTCGGACGTTGTCCGACTTTTTCGTTAAATTGAGGAACTTGATAAGACTGATATCTGCCGGAAGTTTATTCAGACTAGCCTATGATTGAGAAACTATAACTTTTTTTAACCTTAGTCCGGACATATGCAGCATCTGAAAATAATGGCGGTAGTCGCCAATTTCTAACAGGGCCAGAGAGAGGAACAGACGTGGAATGTTCAGACTAGACCTATTTTACTTAAAATAATCCCGCGCGGTTGCTAAGTCGCGCGATTCAAGGCTAGAAAGATCGAAAAATTAGCCCTAGGGGTGCGGCGACGGATAGAAGGGCTAACACGACCAAATTGCCATGTCATTCTAAAAGGATGGACGGTCAGGGGTTCGAGGGCAAATAAGGAGTGGATTGTCGGGCCTACTAGACCAAGCCCAGCCGGGTGGATGGCGGGGCGACTACCTTTGGAAGGGATAGGTGGACTACACCTGCCTAGGCCAAGGAGTAGGCGGACTACACCTGCCTAGACTAGGGAGTAGGCGGCCTACTGGGTTGTAACCCTTCAAATAGAAGGGTGGCAGGTACAACTCCCGTGATAGGAGCTATCACAGTAGGTACTGCATTCAACTTTCACCCAGCAGATGCTGCGGTCGAGCCAGGCGATACGCTGCATAGGCTAGCTCCTTTTTGGAGCTGCTCTCCAGCTAGGCGCGACCGTTTTTTGCCGCGAGATCTTCAGATCTTAGGGCCAAAAACGGCCACGCAGATACAACATGGCCACTGCGCGAAGGATGACGCGCATAAATCGAGAAATGACCCATATTTTTTGATCCCCCGTTGGGATCGAACTTGGGTCCGGGACCTGGGACCATTCCCCTCGTCTGATGTAGGGTGTGTAAAGGGAAGTTTGGTAATGGGACGCGCCTCGGGGTTTTGTCTTTTTTGGGGGGGGGTTGTTTGTCTTAGGTGGGTTTTTCGGAACTCAAGTAAGGCCTGAGGAAGGCTACCGGTTGAGATGGTTTGTTCGCGTGTTGACCGTAGGATTGGGTCCCTCACCTTCTCTGCCGGACCAGGCTTGGGATCGCCACCCTTTTGCTTTAGGATATTAAACGGCGAACGGTCGGTTTGACTCCTCTTTGGTGGACCGCATTTGGCGGCACCAGAATAGGAGTCAGCAGCGCCTGCGTGACTCGATAGGTTGACGGCGAGATCGGTGGTTCATTGGGTGTTGTGGTCTGTTCCGGTGGCGTTTTGCGCGTTTGCGCTAATTTTACGACATTTTCTTAGCCGGGCTACTCGATCACTTGCAGGTGTGCGTCTGCATGTCGTGTTCAGGTGTCGTGTACTGTTTTTGCTTCTAGCTATTGGCGTCGTAACCTGCTAGGAAATTATACCTGGAGGGGGTGGCGACAAAGTTACTACAGGGAAGAGAGAGAGAAGGGAGGATGAGAAAGTGAGAAAGAGAGAGGGAGAAGAAGGGACGATTAGACCTGGTGATTGGCTTGAGTGGTGAGATCCGGTCACTGGTAGGCGTGACAGGGAAGATGAGTAGGGAGAGTGCCGAGAGTGGACCCAATGCATCGGGTCGATCAGAAGGGTCGACGGAAGGCGGAGGAGGGAGATTACCACGACGAGGTAGTGAGAAAAGGATGGCGGGACGGACATGCTTTCGGTGCGGGAAGCCCGATCATTTTGCGAATGTTTGCGATGAGTATTGGGATGCTCGGGATAAGGGCATTCCTTTTGTTCCGCCTCCACCTCCGTACGCGCAGAGCGGCCGCACTATGGCCCCAAGTGTTGAGCGACGGAGCCACTCGGCGACTACTATGGATCGAGACGTGAGACGGGGGAAGTGAATAGCATGATGAGGGTTTATTTTTTCGAGATGGCGAAAGAGTGTGAAAAGATGAAGCAGAGATTAGCGAAGGAAGAGCTGCAGCGTAAGGAAGACGAGGCAAGAAAAGAGAAAGAGAGGAGGAGGCTGCAGGAGTTGGAAGAAAGGAAACGGGCGGAGGATGAGAGGGATGCACGTCTATTGAGGATCATACGGAGTGAAATTCACCATGAGAGAGAAAGAGAGAGTGAACATACCAGTCGAGGAAGTTGGAAGACGAGTAAGCGGAACGAAAAATGTGAGACGGTGGAGGAGGAGAAGGAGCGGTTAAGGCGCATGATAGCACTTCAGGAGGAGAGTGATGAGGATGTTGAATAGATCGCGTTGCGGCGCCGGGCAGTGGGACTTGAGATCAATGAGAAGCGAAAAAGAGGGAAGGAAGTAGCGGTAGGCGACAGCCCGCCGATGGTGACTCCGACAAAAGGGCAGCGAACCGGCTTGGAAACAAGCATCAAATTGAGAATTGAGGAGTTGCGGGAGACGGGGCGCGTTGCGAGTACGTCGTCACCGGTGGCTGATCAGATTGGTAAGATCGGCTTGTCGATCAAGCATGTGACCGCAAGGGTTGGTCCTGGCGCGCGCGAGATATATGAAGAGGAAGTATGTGCCGTGTACGAAGCCTTGACTATCGAGGAGCTTAAAGAGGCGTGTAAGAACGAGCGGATAACCTATGGGAAGCGGGAGCTGGCGATTAATCGTTTGGTGACGCGTCGCGTTATCAAGGCGTATGATCCGGTCAATGTGTTGTTGCCAACGACACCGCTCCCGAGGAGATCGACAAGGACGTCTAAGGACAAAGAAGGTGAGGGTCAGGATGGCGAAGGAGCCTCGGAATGAGGGAACGAACCTGATGATCTGTGGCGGGATATCGATGAACAGACGAAGCTGTGAGAGGCACATGGGTGCAAAGGTAATGCTGAGAGTCGGATGAGAGCGCTGGTCCTAGGATTGATTGTGGTTGGTGAGTTGCGATGGGGGGAGAAATGTTTGGAGTTGTGGAGGCAGGAAGCCCGCTTTGGAAGACTAGACCTTCAATCCCCACGGAGTTGTGTATATGTGGTAATATCTCCGTGGTATAAACAGATTTATGTGGGCATGACGGAAAGGAGTCTAGCGGAGAGATGGACAACACACTTGAGGTGTGTAAAGCAGGGTGATAAGAAGCGTTCGCGGAACCTGTACAACAGGTTGGGCAAGGTGGGGGTGCACATGTACGTAGTGGTATCGGTATTCTTTAGTGCGGATAGAAGGGAGTTGGAGGCAGTTGAAAGAACATTGATTAGAATGTGGTCACCGTCCCTCAACTCAAAGGGGGTAAAGCGAAGATCAAGGAGGCGTAGGAGACCAGGAAGGAAAGAGCGACGAGAGGCTGTTGCGAGCAAGGTGAAAGGGAGTGGGGAGGAGAAAACAGAGAGGAAAGTCGAAGGGAACAACACGATAGTAGCGTTGAGAAGGGATGGAGGGGAAAGGACAGTAAGGGTGATCGAACTTCTACGGAGTTTGGCAAAGGTCCCGCGCGGAGTCAAGACACGTATGTGGTCGGATGGCGGGCGGAGCTGGGCGGACAATTGGCGAGTTGTACGACGAACCTTTGGGGAATCACGGGTGATAGTGGGCAAACGCACTAGGCCGTTACGGAAGTGCAAGAAGCTGTTCGGGGTGGAAGGATGGATTATGGTTCGGGATGTGGTGGAAGCGACGCCAAGAACATTGAAGCTGAAGCAGGAGCTGGTGAGTATTTTCAAGGACAGGCGGAAGATGCGGCTGCTGTACAGCAAAACGCAAGAAGAACTAGTCAACTATTACGCGGCGGCGAAACTGTTTTCTGAAAAGAGGAGTAGATCCAGAGGGAGACGGGTGATTTCCGACGTGTTAAGGAGGAGCTTTGGGCTGAGCATTCGAAGGAGGATAGTTGTGAAGGTCGAGTTTGATGAGAGGATTAAGAAGAGCAAGGTAGTGAATCTGACGCGGCAAGGGATTGGGAGACTGCCTCTCAATAATGCGATTGCGGGAATGGTGCGTAGACGCAATCATGTCGTTTGGACGAGAAGTCCGAACGTGGGTGATATAATCCATAATCACCGACGTTTTGCGGCGGATGGAGTCTCTGAGTGCATCTGCACTAGCATGCCCCTCCCAAAAGAGGGTGGGCACGTCCATTTCCGTATTGGCAATTGGGATGGATGTCCGACGATAGCCCGTAACGCTAAGAATGTACCGCGGAATGTGAAGGATGGTCTGGTGGCGAGACTGTCGAAGAAACTAGCTGACAACTTTGCTGACCTGAGCTGGTTGGGAAAGGGAATGGGACAGATGGAGTTTGCGCAGGAGGAGATTGAGATATGTGTGTCGAAGAGTAGGACAGACAACTGTGATGATGCAGACGCGGTTCAGCGAGTGCGTGAAGGACTGAATGGGCTGGTGTGTTGCCCTTTGGATCGCAATCCTGGGGACACTCTGGTCATGTGTCCGGTCACGTACGCAGAAGGGATGAAAACGACCTCTACAGCTAATGATGGCTACGTAATTCGAGAGGAATCGGAGGACGAGATTATCAATCTTTTGCACACTGAGTATGGAAAAAGGAAATTTGGGCAGATTGGAGAATGGAAGAAGGATGGAAAATTGGGCAGGGCTTATATTCTTCCTAAACATAAGGATACGGCTAAATATCGGCCAATCTACCCAACTTTCAGTGAGCCTAGTGGGAGGGCTTGCAAGAAGGTGGCTCGTGCTTTGAATGGAATGTTGTTCTCGGTCCCTGAGAGTAAACATTTTAATTTGAAGTCTGTGTCTGAGTTGTGTGACCGCCTTATCGGAATTAATCAGCGTATGCGTCGTGCTTATAAGGATGTGCAGGTGTTGAGCGACTCCTACGATATCAAAGATATGTTTAGCAGACTCCCCCATGCGACGATTGTGAGTGTTGTGGATTGGTTCATTTGGTGGTTTGGGTCGAAAGGCCTACAGGGTGTCTTTGTTAGCAAGAGGGGTAAAGGGACGATGTTTAGCAAAGGGAAGAGTGTGGATGGTTTTCAATTTATAAATTTTGGGATGATTCGGGAGTTTGTTCTTTTTGAATTGGGAGGGTGTTTCACAGTGGCAAGGAGGGTAATCCTGCAACAGGTTGTCGGTATTCCCATGGGAAAATCGACTAGCCCACCACTTGCATGCATGATGTGTGCGAAAGCAAAATGGGATTTTTTTGTTACACTAGGGAATGACAGACGTCTTGTGGCAAAGCTTCGCTATGTGGATGATCCATCGGTGTTTGTAGCCTTTGATTCCCGACGACCGGAATCGAGAAGGAAAGCAGAGGAGATCATTGAAAGCTTTGAAGTTTGCTACAACAAAGCTTTGCCCTGAGGAAAACTGATGATGGGAAGGATTCCTAGGATTTCCTGGGATGTCGCTTGAGGGTAAAGAAGGAATTTCCTTTCGTTGGTTGTTGTCTAGCTATGAAAAATGAGAAAGAACTACTTAAGGGTGAAGAGCTGATTTTCAGGGTTTTTCAGGACTTTGAGTCGTGGGCGAGTAAGAAATCAAAGATGGCCGTTGTGATGAGCACGTTGCACAGGATCTACCAGAACTCGATGACAAGCATGGAGTTGATCGAGGTGCTCCTGTTGTTGAAGCTGGAGCTGAGAAGAAGGAACTACCCGATCCATTTTTTCGGGAGGGCCTTGAGAAGCTTCGCGAGAGACAAGAGTCTTGTGTGGAAGTTGCTGGCTGAAATGCTGGGAGGCGGCTGGAACATGAAAGTCTTGGGAAATCCGGGATGCACGAGAGACCGATGCTAAAGTTGAAGAAGTAGGTTTGCTTTGTTAGAATTGTGGTCTGTAATGAGAATTGTAATTTAGGATTATAAGTGTGAATGTAATCTGGTCTATTGATGGATTGCGAACTGTGGCTGGATGATAAGGGACCTGGGACCGTTCCCCCCGTCTGATGTAGGGTGTGTAAAGGGAAGTTTGGTAATGGGACGTGCCTCGGGGTTTTGTCTTTTTTTGGGGGTTTTATTTGTCTTAGGTGGGTTTTTCGATACTCAAGTAAGGCCTGAGGAAGGCTACCGGTTGAGATGGTCTGTTCGGGTGTTGACCGTAGGATTGGGTCCCTCACCTGCTCCGCCGGACCAGGCTTGGGATCTCCACCCTTTTGCTTTAGGATATTAACCGGCAATCGGTCGGTTTGACTCCTCTTTGGTGGACCGCATTTGGCGGCACCAGAATAGGAGTCAGCAGCTCCTGCATGACTCGATGGGTTGACGGCGAGATCGGTGGTTCATTGGGTGTTGTGGTCTGTTCCGGTGGCGTTTTGCGCGTTTGCGCTAATTTTACGGCATTTTCTAAGCCGGGCTACTCGATCACTTACAGGTGCGCGTGTGCATGTCATGTTCAGGTGTCGTGTACTGTTCTTGCTTCTTGAGTCCGCTTATCGCAAAAAGGGGGGAAGATAGCCGTTGGTTTATGCCAACGGCATCCTTAAAAAAAAAAAAAAAAACAAAAAAAAAAAAAAACGAGGCAACAGCC